AGCCCAGGTATGTCAGAAACCCGTGAGGCTAACACTCAATATTGCACTTATTTAAGACACCGCTGGTGGTGAGTTGTGCAGAGATGGTGACGGCTCACCACAAAGGACTGAATCATAGAATCCCAGAATGTTTTGGGTTGGAAGGGATCTTAAAGCTCATCCAATTCCAACCCCCTGCCATGGGCAGGGACACCTTCCACTAGAGCAGGTTGCTCCAAGCCCCTGTGTCCAACCTGGCCTTGAACACTGCCAGGGATGGGGCAGCCTGTTTCTTTCAGCTCTAGCTCTGACACTGGTCTGTGTGTCATTCCTGTTGCACAGTGTAATTTTGGAGAATTACAGGATCAGATGCTCCATGTGGGACACAAAGAAGGAACAGATTGTTTTCGATCCCTCTTTCAAACAAATGGGATGGGGGAAGCTGAACCACAGAAGAGCAGTGGAGTTGCCAAGGGGAAGGAGGAGAGAAAGCTGCCAGGCTGGAGGAGCCATCACAGAGTGGGAGCAAGAAGGAGACAGAGCAGCTGCTGGTTAGCAGACGGTGAGCATCTGCAGCACAAAGCCCTGCCAAAAATGGGACAAGCAGCTGCATCCAGCAGGTATACAGAAAAAGTTACATGGACTAGCACTGGATGGAAAGCAAGAGCAAAAGAGACAGCCATCAGAGGCACCATATGCTACAGCCCTGTCTACACAATCAGCCCGTTCCTGCAAGAGTAAGGTGTCAGCTCAGCCTAAAACCCATCACTTAGGTGAGGAAGAGGGAACCTATACTAGCACTGCTATACAGGACACGTGGTCCAGGATGACTGGCACATTAGATTCCAATGTATCCCTAAAAAAGCTTAAGGGCATTAAGGTGCTATCCAGAAGTCAATACACTTTGGTGTTTTCTATTTCTACATTCAGGCAGCCAGAGCTCCTGCCACGTACCCAAACACCAACAAACATCTCTGCAACCAACTGCCCCAGTATCTGTTCAACCAGCAGGGGATGATGGCCTGAGCGAGCCTCAGCTACACAGAGCAATAAAAACAGTTCTGGAGGGGTTGATTAAATAACACAATGGCCTTTGTCACATCAACGCTCCAGCTCTCTGGTCATGTCTGACACACACATTGCAGAACAGGAGCAGGAAGAGATTTTTCTGTGTTTGGAGAAGGACTTTTGATAAGGGGATGGAGGGACAGGCCAAGGGGAATGGCTTTAACCTGCCAGAGGGGAGACTGAGATGAGCTCTTGGGCAGAAGCTCTTCCCTGTGAGGGTGCTGAGGTGCTGGGTGCCCAGAGAAGCTGTGGCTGCTCACAGCAGGTATGTTCAGAGAACACAGCTAAAGTGAAGTGCGCAAACAAGTACAAGGCCAGGTTTTACACCCCATGTGCCCTTTACACCAGGGTTCTGACCATGCACAGGGGCAGCACAACGGAAAAGCCACTTTCCAAAGGGCCTTCAGCTAGAATTGTCTTTCTTGACCCAGCGACCTGTAGAAGATGCCCTCAGGATGCCCTCTCGCATTGTCCTCCCCTCTGATCTGGGCCCACAAGCTCTCAGCAGGTCTGTTGCATGGTTCCCCAGCAGGACCCCATGCATTTGAGCTGCATCTTTGCATAAAGCACAACCCCTTCACCATCTTTCCCACCCATCCTTCATTCAGTGCCCACCCCAGTACTGTTCCCTGCCCACAGTAAAGAACTACCAATTCTCCAAAGGGATTGACAGCATCAACTTCAGCAGCTCTCAAGCTACAGCATAAAAGCCCATGTCCATATTCAGTAGCAAAATTAACCACAAAGCATTTCAGTTCTTCACAAGGTCTTTGCAACCCCAGCAGAGGTTAAACCCAAATCACTGCTTCCCTGGGGAAAGATCCAAAGGTCATGGATTGTCCCCAAGTTACATTCCTCTATCTGAATGGAAACCAACTCCCTTTTGAGTCCAGCAAACTAACAAATAGCACGCAAATTATTTCAGGCACAACCCAAAAAGAGGTGTCCTAAAACCTGGGAATTTCATGAAGGTTTAAGCAGCAGAAGGCACTGGGAATTCAGCTGTCATCATGAGATTAGAAGAAGCTTTCATAAGATGAAAACCAACCCATCTGAAGCAAAGCTGACAGCATTCAGGGTATTTTTTGCTCAACAGGAATTAGAGGACAGAAGCAACCACTCTCATTCGGGCAGGTGTATTGCAACAGAAGGCTCTGCTGAGCTTGGCTAAACAAAACTCTCTCATATCTCAAAGCATCTGCCACATTGGCCAGTCTTCAGCAAACGCATCTTCAGATCAGTAGCAGTCTGTCGGCTGATTTCACCCAACCATTCACTTTTGCAGCTCTCTTCTCCAATCTAGTTCAAATGAGCATGTGTGGTTCTATTTCTTCTACTCTCATATAAATTACAGGTAATCATAGAATGGTTTGGGTTGGAAA